CTATATATATATATATAGTATGTGGTGGCTGAACTGTATCAGCAGGTAAATTATCAGGTCACAATTAATCTAATTACTCGGTGATCGATAATGAGGGCCTTCATTCTAGGGAGAAGTACTATAATACATACCTACACATACTGTACATATACCGTAGGAATCAATAGCCGATGCCGCTCGGCTTTGTTTTAATGGAAACAATGGCATGACTTGGAATATAGCAAGGCGATGTAGCTCCGCGTAACGCTCGAGCGCGCTCGGGCGAGCGGGAATTTATGCGCCATATTGCGTTTAGTGAACGCGGAATATTTCGATGCGGTAACGGATTTGGCGTTTTGTCTTCGATACAAAGAAGATATTCTAAGATTCATGTTCGCGCCCACATTATATACGCAGGCTTCTTCGCTCGTCAAATGTGGTGCGCAGAATGTGATGCGCAGCTTCGCGAGCTTGAAATCATACGCGAGGAAAAAAAGCAACTGTATTGGAATAGAGACGCCCGCTCGATCTTTACATCGATGAATATATCGCGTGCGGAGGTTTAATCCAAGTCAATCGTACATTGATGCGCGCTTTTTTGCCTCTTCATCATGCTGGCTATTGTCCATCCTACGTGTTGCAGAGCTACCCTGTTTTGTCTACGTTCGTTCGTCTGTTTATAGAGAGAGATACGTGCGCGGGTTGATCCAGATAAGCAATGCGCGTGTTCATCTCGTGTTCAAAACGCTTCGTGCGAATTTCGTCTGTTCAAAAACTGCTGCGATCATTTTTGTACAGTATAGCGTAATCGCTAATTAACACGTGAATATATTATTAGCGTAACTATAAATTCCTTAGAATTATTGACGTTTTACAAATGAAGTAACAAATCTACAGAGCGAGAGAGAGCTGTGAAAAGCCGCAGAAACTGCGGGTACGTATATTCGCCACTATCAGATTTACCAGCGTAGTACAGTGTATGTAACAAACATGAGGCCTGTTAAAACTGCATGCCTGCAATACATTTTCCGTACGGGTTTAGTTTAAAGTGCGGTCATCTGCATATCTCAAGTTACTGCTTCATAAAATATCCATTTGTTGCGTTTAGATAATGCCGCATGTCACGCGTGAGCATTTCAAGAGAGGCCTCGTGACAAATAAAAAAAACGAGCCGCTTTTCGCTGCGGAGAATATGAAATTGAAATATAAATCAGAATACAGTATCACGTATCACAGAATCGCGCGACGTTTTTTTAATGCACGGTGTGTTCAGACGAATTTTGTTATAATCTAACTGTGAACAACATATATCAGTTGAAAAGTACTGATGGTGTTGATTTACGCAACTGCGAGGTTAGAGAAATAAGAACAAATTTTTACACAAACGTACCGTCGCTATTTGAGATTATAGAGCTATTCGTCCGCCAAGCAATAATGTAGCATTGTAGCTGGTTTATAAATGTTAGACACCCAAGTGAGTCTTTGCAAATCAGTCCCTACAAATTTGCAAATCACGTCCCTAAATCAAATCCGTGCTAGTTCAAGCAGCGCGTGAAAATCACTTGAGATTATGCGAATAAAATTTCGGCAAATGTTGACTGTAGATTTACTCTAATCGCTATAGTGCCATACCGTGACTAGTCTCTGAGATTATAACCATGACTAGTCTCTAAGATTATGACCATGACTAGTCTCTAAGATTATGACCATGACTAGTCTCTGAGATTATGACCATGACTAGTCTCTGAGATTATGACCATGACTTGTGTCTGAGATTATAACCATGACTGGTCTCTGAGATTATAACCATGACTAGTGTATGAGATTATAACCATGACTAGTCTATGGGATTATGACCATGACTAGTCTCTGAGATCATAACCATGACCAGTCTCTGAGATTATGACCATGACTAGTCTATGAGATCATAACCATGGCTAGGTGTATGAGATCATAACCATGACTAGTCTTTGAGATCATAACCATGACTATAGTGTATGAGATTATAACCATGACTAGTCTATGAGATTATGACCATGACTAGTCTCTGAGATCATAACCATGACTAGTCTCTAAGATCATAACCATGACTAGTCTCTGAAATTATGACTATGACTAGTCTATGAGATTATGACCATGACTAGTCTCTAAGATTATAACCATGACTAGTCTATGAGATTATAACCATGACTAGTCTCTGAGATTATGAACATCAATAGTGTCATGATTAAGCCGAAAGTACCATGAGTGGAAAGAGACTAGGATAACAAGCATCGAAAAAGGCATCGAAAGGCTGAACTGGTTTGGCGACTGTAGCACACACTATTATCAGTTGCCATATTGGCGTCTGCACTCCCACTGACGTAGCATCTATTTCCAACGAGCTTGTCACGCGATTCGGCTGCGGCCACACGGTTGGCGCGTGCACGACGCTACCGCTGGATGCATCATAGGTACACGCGCGTTGCCTAGATACGCTCAGAGGGCTGAATGAAAGATGGATATGCGCTCACGCAAGGTAGCCGCATAGCCGATGGTTGCTTGTAGCTTTGGGTTGATGCATACAACTAATCTAACATAACGCTAATTGTTACACTGCGTTTAGAGGAACCAGTCCGTATTTTCTGGTGCGGTAAAACGCTGTGCGCATAACCTGTGCGTATTAAAACTACCTACGCTATAGCTCCTCTATAATATTCTATGATGTATCTACTCTCTGATGTACCGATAACTATACGTAATACCAAGAGCTAATAAAACATTGTAATATACATTGTGTACTATGTAATATAACACGCGTGCGCTTATATAACCAGGGGCCCGTTGTCAGAAACAAAATTAGTCTTAACATTAGTCTTAACATTAACAATTTCTTCTAGACCGTCGACATCACTTTGTTTCGTATTGTTATGAAGAAATCTTCTACGATTTTTCATTCTCGTAACTTCGCAGCGTTTCTGTCAACGGTCTAAGAAAAAAAGTTAATGTTAATACCAATTTTGTTTCT